TATTTATTAAACCAAGAGAAGGCCAATGGACCGCCTCAGCAAACTATAGGAAAACTTTCCAGAGGCTTGAATGTGGAAAGGGAGAGAACTGAATCAACCCATAACATACAATAATAGAGGCTGTTAATCAAAAGAACCTGCATTGCAACAGTCAGAGCCACAAGAGAATTGTTTCACCCAAACACCACAATTTATCATGTTTAAATTTCATATAATAATTTTAAACTTCATTGGCATTGTAGTTCATTTTAGAGAAAGTATAATTTTCAGGAGTTAAACTAAACTTAGGCTGGATTTGGATACATTTTAGAACATTATAATGAAAATAATTACGTCAACACTTTTGGGATGTCCCTGGTTTTCTTTTAAAAATGGTTCCTTATTTTCCAAAGTCTGAGAAACTGTGTTTTGTTTTGTTTTGAAATTTATTTTTATTCATTTCAGAGAGGGAGAGGAAGAGAGAGAGAGAGAGAGAGAGAGAGAGAGAGAGAGAGAGAGAGAGAAACATCAATGATGAGATAAAATCATTGGTTGGCTGCCTCCTGCACGCCCCTTACTGGGAATCAAACGGGGACCCTTCAGTCTGCAGGCCTACGCTCTAGCCACTGAGCAAAATCTACTAGGGTGAGAAACTGCTTTTCATGTTTTTTCCATAGTAGATATCTCTGTTATCTCGGGGCTCCACTTGCCAGAATCTCTCTCCAGATGGCCAGGGCGGGCACTTGGAGCTGCTTTACAGGCCCTTGGCTTTCATCACCTTGTGGCTAGATGCGGTGGACGGTTCAAATCGAGACTGTAGTGTATTTCCCTTAGCCAGCCCCAGGCTCACTGGCTTCCAGATGCTCTCAATCGCTCAGACTTTCCCCTTGGCAAACTCAGGTCCGCACCCACAGATCCCGCTCCCTCGGCTCCGCGGCCACCCTCCACCCGCCTCCCGCCTCCAGAGCTGTTTCCCGATCTTGCCTGATGATAGCCATTTGTTTAAAACACAGACTTCCAGACTTTCTCTAGAAATTCTAGATGTCTAGAGAGAGAGGCTCAGGGATCTGCATTTCAACAAGTGCCCCGGGAAAGTCTTACTGGCAGGCAAGTTTGAGAAACCTGGCGGAGGGTTTCCTTCCTCGGTCCCCAGGCTTCTTCCCCGAATGCCCCTACCAGTCCTGGATGAGCCGGGAGTAACTCCGGTTTGGTAACTCTGCCAGTGCCAGGTTCCTCCACTGCCCACCTGTGGTTGCCAGGCGACCAGACTCTGTCCGCGGCTCAGGGGAGATCTCGCGAGGTTCCTGGAAGCGCCCTCCTCTGTGGCGTGGCGGGGTCCTGCTCCCTGTGACGCCTGGCGGGGTGGGGGTGGTGGCCCTGGACGGGGTCTGAGCGCAGGCAGGCAGCTGGATGAGGCGGCAAGGATCGCTCACACTGGCCTGTTAGTGGCCAGCCTTCCTGCCGGGACAGTTTTTGGCAGGTCGTCATTTCCCTCTCCTGGGTTTTCCTTGCCATCAGTTTTGAACTTTCAGTGCCCCCAACTCACCACCTTTTCCCAATAACAGCCCAGGAAATAGATTGTTTAAATCCAAGTACAGCCCTTTACTCAAACAAAATCCAAATTCGTTAGGGTGACATTGCGGTCCGTTCATCATGGCCAGCCTCACTACTTGCCTCTTGCCCTCTAAACTTCAGTATTCCGATCTGGCACTTGGCACAATATGTCTTGTCCTAATAAACTTCACCCTCTTCTCTCCTCGCCTCAAGGTAGCAATAGAACACACTTTCCCCCCCTCCTTAATTCTTATTTTCCCTTTTAAGACGGAAGGACTCGGCTTGGGATGAGCACACATCCTTTCTGAAGCCTTTCTAGGTGCTGGGTCTTGTGAAGTAATTACTGCTTTCTGCCCCCAAACAACTAGGATATATTAAATTCTTTAGCACAGTACTTACCACACTACTGTATGTTTGTTACTTACCCATATCTTTAATAAAATGGTAAATTCTTATAGAGCAAGGATTGTGTCTTTTATCTTGCTATTCCCGGGACTTGGCAAAGTGCTTTCTAGATTAGCAGCCACTCCATAAGTGTTTGTTAAAATAATTTACACATGAAGGAGACTAAGAACAATAGAAGAATGAACTGACATTTATAGTGGAAAGACTGGGACTCATTAGGGATATGGAAAAGTGAGCAATCTGGATGTAAGGACCCTGAAAGCTGTATAACAGTGGGTGACAGCTGTGATCTAGGGAGGTGGGGGCACGCTGGAAGAGTTGTCGTTGCTGTTCCTGTAGCAAAGGAGGGCCAGAGGAGATTGTTAGAGTTACAAGGCAGCTTGGAGCCCATGTGGACAGTCCCATTTGCCATTTTGCAGATAAGGAAACTCCCAGGCCTAGAGATAGGAAAGAAATAGGATGAAGGTCACAACCGAGGTGGCAGAGAGGGAATTTACCCTTGGGCTCCTGATTCCAAGCTCAGGTCCTCTTTCCTTCTATCTCACTGACTGTTACAGTAAGAGTGCCTAGAAAGAGGGACAGAGGGATGGGGACAGGTGACCCCTAACCCATTCAGGACATTGTTGGTAAGTACAGTTGTAGGCAGTTTTGGCCTGGATTAGTGTGAAGGCAAAGGGAGTGGCAAGAAATGAACAAATTTAGGAGGCATCTTGAAGCAGGATTTAATAGAGAGATTGGATAGGAGAAAGGGAGGGAGAAGATAATTGAAGATAATTCTCAGGTGTTTGTTAGGATAAAGAAACAACACTGGAGAAAAAGGAAAGGTGGCAAGTAACTTGAGGGGAAGTAGATGAGTTTGGTTTGCACATATATGAGATGAGATAGGTTTAATGGTTTCCAGAATAAGACTAATCATTGAACCCAGGAGGCCAAGATAGTAGGGAGGGAGGAAGTAGGTAAAAGAGAAATATAGCAAATCAGTAACTATGCCAACTAGTTTTGATGGAAGAGGGAAGCAAAACTGGTTAAGGTGTCAGAGAAAGATTCATGAGAAGTGAGATATGTTCTGAGAACAAATAGTAATTCTGTGATTGAGAAACATATAATTTAGATTCACACACTGGAAAGAGTTTAAGGAGGGAGTTATCTAACAGAATAAAAAGCTACAGAAGGATATGAAGAATTAAAAGTATGGTCAAAATAATATGCCTAAAACACTATGACACAGATCAGATGCCCTTCTTACCTGTTTTGTAGATCATTCCTTTGGGAACAACAGCTTTAGTAATGCATGCAGGGCTGTCTCATTGCTGTTTGTAGCACTCACTGAACCTGCTTCTAACATTACTTTGCTAGAAACATGTTTAGCATTGCCTTATTAAAAATCAGTGCTCTGTTAAATCTTTGTTTTGTAATGATTTTATAAATAATAAAAAGGAATATGATCTCATTTGTGGTAAAATTATACACACATTTAAATGTCTAAAAAAATATATTTATGTCCAAAGTATAGATTTAGATACAGTTATTTACATCCATACCTATACTATATACCAAAATATTTTTTTAAAATATATTTTATTGATTTTTTACAGAGAGGAAGGGAGAGGGATAGAGAGCCAGAAACATCGATGAGAGAGAAACATCGATCAGCTGCCTCCTGCACACCCCCCACTGGGGATGTGCCCGCAACCAAGGTACATGCCCTTGACCGGAATCGAACCCAGGACCCTTGAGCCCGCAGGCCGACGCTCTATCCACTGAGCCAAACCGGTTCTGGCCCAAAATATTTAATAGTGGTTATTTCTTGGGATTATGCTTGTTTATTTCTCTTAATTTAGTAATCACATTTTTTAAAAAATGATAAAATTATATTCTGAAAATCCATTTTTAGATTCTGCTCTTTGTGGAATTGAAAACCTCTTTGTGACTGTTGGTATTTAAAATAGTTTAAAATGGTTGAATTACTAATTAATTTTAAGAGAAAGTATTTTCTCATTAAGATGTGAAATATAATTCCTGTCTAGTGGCACACAGTGTTAAACAATCATCTGCGTATTTTCCAATGTGGCAGAAATTTGGCAGACTACAAGAAATACTTGTTTTCAGTGCAACATTTGTAAGTTCAGTGTAAAGTATTCTAAGAGTTACACTTTGACAGATGTTGGGAAATTTGTATTTGTAAAAAAAAAATGGAGTCTTGACAATCATTTTAAAAGGCAGTCTTGGAAGAATTGCTCTAAAAAGCAAATTTAAAAAAGTCTCCACTTGAGTTTCCAAGTAACTTTAGACAGAAACAAACTTTTTATTTTAAAAATTGTTCTATATATTTTTGTATATTTTTTGTATTTCTTCACCTCTAGAGTACTAAGCAAATACTTTAATGATTAGTTATTTTCATTGAGAAATCATCATTTTAAAGGGCCCAGACAAGTATATCATCATATAACTCTATACTGAAAAATTAGCTTTTATTGGCATTAACTCCTCTTTTTGTGTTGACCTTGTAGATTGATAAAATATTAGTATGGTAGGCAGACTTTTTTTTTTTTCAAACTAAGAAAGGCTTTATTTTAAGACAAAAACAGGAAAAAGACATCCAAATTCAAGTGAGAGTTCACTGTATTTTTTAAAAGAGAAAGCTGCACTTAGATGTCAGTTAAAACCAGAACCATTGTAGAGATGCCTGCTGTTTGTGGTGACAAAGTTACAACATGTGTTTGTCTGAGAAGTCTTTCTATGGTGGCATAAATGTGGGACTGCATGACAAGAGTGAAGCAATACAAGATAGAATGGCAAGTGGGTAAATGCTCTAATGTGCTCTTGTTCTGTTTTGGAGAATTAAAGAAAGCAGCAGGTCACCTCACAAAGAACTATATTGTCAAAAAACACTTATAAAAATTGAAAATGGATGTGAGGTTGTTACTAAAGGTATACAGGGAGGTTAGTGGAGAAAAAACACTTGTGTTCTCAAAAACCAGGTTTCACACAATAACAGGCACTAAAACTAGTTGTGTGTGCTTGCAACAGGAGAGAATACTTTTAATAAAGGCTGGTCTTTTTCATGATACGCAGGAATCTTCCTCATTGACTTCCCCATCTCCATCGCGATCAGCTTCATCAATCATTTCCTTCAGCTCCTCACCAGTGATGTTCTCATCCAACTCATTGGATACACGTTTGAGATTGTCAAATGATATGGTCCCAGTTTCATCATCATCGAAGAGCTTGAAAGCTTTCAGGATGTCTTCTTTGGAATCTTTCTCAAACATTTTTTGAGTCATCACAGTCAAGAAGTTATTGAAATTCATTTTTCCTGTCCCTTCTTGTTGGGGTCCAACCCCAGCAGGTCCAGGGATTCCCAAAGGTGTGGACGGAGTCGGTGAAGAAGGAATGACACAGAGACAGTGTTCAGTTGATCAGCAGCCTAGCCAGGTTCTCCAGCCAGGTTCTCCAGCCAGGTTCTCTCTTTATTCTCCTGTTACAGCTGTATCTATACCATTTGATTTTAATCCTATCCATTCTATTTCAAAGGTTAGGGCATTTGTTATCTCCATTCCAAGGTCACTACTCTATTGTTCTGTTAAGCTACAAGGAAGTAACTGAAGGAGATTATCCTAAGTAAAGATTATATAGCTTAAGCGTGATTGTTCATAGTTAAAGTGATTACCCGCCTGGCACTTAGTTAAGGGGTTTTACTGATTTATTCCCTTCCTTAGTCCTGTTAATCCCTAACTCCAGGGGAAAATCCCCACCTGGGGAAACAACCTTTCTCCACCTGGGGAAACAACCTTTCTCGGAGAGGTGACCTTGGTTAAAACACATAGCGCTAAGAAGGGGAACAAACATATTAAGAACAGTATGCCATTACGCCAGGTCCCTTGAAACATATGCTGTGCAGATGTTTCTTCCCTGCAGCGGCTGTGTCAAGCAGCAAGGATGGACCGGCTTCTGGCACCTTCTGGGTCAATTTCACTTATCATCTTCATAATCTCTTCTTTCTTTGGTTCAAAGCCCATTGCTCTCATCACCACCTTGAGCTCTTTAACATCAGTGGTCCCAGTTGCATCAGTATCGAAGGGATCAAAAGCTTGGCGTAGCTCCTGTATCTGCTGTGGACTAAGCTCCAGCTTAGGACTCACTCTTTTTGGCTGGGAAGATGATGCCACGTTTGTCGTCTTAAGGCTAGAAGAAGCCTTCGGAGGTTCTGAGTCTTCTTTGGCCTGGAACAGGTTGCCTAGAGGGCCATGCAAGCCCGGGGGCGGCTGCGGGCCGGCTGTGTGTTAAGTGGAGACAGCGAAAAGGCCCCGCGAGGAGGCTGGCGTTTCTTCAGATCCATCTCCGACCGACTTCCGCTCCCGATTCGGTAGGCAGACTTTTAAAATGGTCTAAATGAGCCCTAGCTGGTTTGGCTCAGTGAATAGAGGGTCAGTCTGCAGACTGAAAGGTTCTGGGTTCAATTCTGGTTAAGGGCACGTACCTCAGTTGCAGGCTCCTCCCTGGCCCAGGCCCTAGTCAGGGCGTGTACAGGAGGCAACCAATCAATGTGTTTCTCTCACATCGATATTTCTCTCTGTCTTTCCCTCTCTCTTCCACTCTCTAAAAAAAGGGGGGGGAGTAAAATATCCTCGGGTAAGGATTAAAAAATCCTATCTAATAAAAGAGAAACATGGTAATTAGCGTACGACCGCTACCCTTCCCATTGGCTAATCAGAGCAATATGCAAATTAACTGCCAGCCAAGATGGCGGCCGGTGGCCAGGCAGCTGGAAGCGAACATGAGGCTTGCTTGCTTCAGTGAAGGAGGACTCCAACGTTCCCCGCCTGCCTTGCCGGCCTCTGAGCTGGCAGTTTGAAACATTGTAACAAATATAGAAGCTAAACAAAACCCCAGAAACCAGCTTTCAGCCGGCAGGGATCTCAGAGCTGGAGATGATACAGTGTATCGATTATAGAACCCAAACAAACCAGATACCTGCTTTCAGCAGCAGAGGCCTTGGCCCAGAATAAAGAAAAAAAGGAGCGGTTGGGAGCTTCAGTCACCCACCAGCCTGAAAACAGCCCTCAGCCCCTCACCCAGACTGGCCAGGCACCCCAGTGGGGACCCCTACCCTGAAGGGTGTGTGACCAGCTGCAAACAGCCATCATCCCCTCATCCAGGCTGGCCAGGCACCCCAGTGGGGACCCCCACCCTGATCCAGGACACCCTTTAGGCAAACCAGCCAGCCCCTACCCATGCACCAGGCCTCTATCCTATATAGTAAAAGGGTAATATGCCTCCCAGCACCGGGATCAGCGTGACAGGGGGCAGCGCCCAAACCCCCTGATCGCCCTGCGGCTCTGTGTGTGACAGGGGGCGGGCCACAACCTCCCTATCCGCCCTGCTCTGTTCGTGACAGGGGAAGGCGCCCCAACCCCCTGATCATCCCTGCTCTGTGCCTGATAGGGGGGAGCTCCCCAACCCCCTGATCACCCTGCAGCTCTGTGTGTGACGGTGT